AGGAAATGAATACAACACGTAAATTGCTTTTTCTTTCATTTTCTACTTTCATTATTTAAACAAATACTAACAGAGCACCTACCATATGCTAGGTACACTGTAGTAGGTGCTGGGGTTATATTTCATATTATGTTCTCTCAGACATCTTTTTTTTTTTTTTCAGCCTGGACACAGCAAGTTTAATGTCTCTGCTGTACATAGAATTCACACCCTTTCCCCTCCTCATCCTTATGCTGGCAACAGGATATGCACTAGAAAATTTGGCTCTTAAGAGTCAATGAATAAAAGGATGGGCTCATACACCTTCATAGTTCTTTTCAGAAAGGATGCTTATAATTTAAAGGATGTCCTAATGGGAAGGAAAGGTACAGGGCAAGAGGCTGTTTCACATTTTAGTCCATTAGTCTTTGGCAGAGCCCAACCAAGGCCAAATTCACCTAGGATGCCCAATGGCTGTGGGGATCTCCACAGGGTCAAGTAAGCAAACCCAAATGAACATGTTGGATTAAAAAAAAACAAGATCTAGAAACTCTTGAAGGAAGAGCTTCACCCTGAAAAGGGAAGAGGAAAATGCTAGGAGGGGAAGGGCGGAGGGTCAGTGTGTGATCTCTGCTGTGGTGGTGCGCAGGGGCTTAGGAGTTAAGCCAAGGGTGCTGAAGACACTCGGCGGCAGTGGCTCTCTTCTCAGGGATCAGCTAAAACATGGGCAGTAAGAAATCTGTGAAACCACAGAACTTCTGGGGAAGGTGCCTCGCAAGCTCATTGTGGCAGGAAATATTCCAAGGACTTTTTCACCAAAAAAGGTGACCTTAAACATATCACGAAGCTGAAACCTTGGGGGCCTTTTTGAGGTTCTAGTGGAGAAGTATGAGTGGTCTCAGGAAGAGGCAGCTGGCTTCAGACATCATTTTGAACACTGTAAAACTATGACACTAAGAGCAAATAGCTAATCAACAGTCTAAAATAATTGGGAACTCTAAAATCCTGAAATATAAACTCTGTGTAGGGTCTGAATGGCTAAATTTAAAATGAAGTAACTATTTAAATTATCCAGTAGGTTTCCTTGTCATCTGGATGAAATTTTACCTGAATGCATACACACACACACACACACACACACATACATATATATAAAAGAAAAAAAAGATCACAAGAGCACCAAAGCACCTTTTAGAATAGGCTTTAGGTTTAAACCATAAATAATTTTTATTTCTGGATATAGGATCATGTTATCTGCAAACAAAGGTAATTTAACTTCCTCTCTTCCTACTTGAATGTCCTTGATTTCTTTCTCTTGCCTGACTGCCCTGGTCAGAACTTCCAGAGGATGTTCCAGAAGATCCTTGTCTTGTGCCAGTTTTCAAGGGGAATGCTTCCAGCTTTTGCCTATTCAGTATGATATCGGCTGTGGGTCTGTCATATATTTTGAGGTATGTTCCTTTAATGTCGAGTTTATTGAGAGTTTTTAACATGAAGGGATGTTGAATTTTATCAAAGGCCTTTTCTGCATCTATTGAGATAATCAAGTGATTTTTGTCTTTAGTTCTGTTTATGTGATGAATCACATTTATTGATTCATGTATGTATGTTGAACCAATCTTGCATCCCGAGGATGAAGCCAATTGGACTGTGGTAACTAAGCTTTTTGATGTGCTGCTGGATTTGCATTGATCAAGGATATTGGCGTGAAGTTTTCTTTGTTGGTTGTATCGATGCCAGGTTTTAGTATTGGATGATGCTGGCCTCATAGAATAAGTCAAGGAGGAATCCCTCCTTTTTCATTTTTTAGAATAGTTTTAGTAGAAATGGTACCAGCTCTTCTTTGTACCTCTGGTAGAATTCAGCTGTGCATCCATCTGGTCCTGGGCTTTTACTGGTTCGTAGGCTAGCTATTACTATCTCGATTTCAGAACTCATTATTTGCCTATTCAGAGATTCAATTTCTTCCTGGTTCAGTCTTGGGAGGATGTATGTATCCAAGGATGTATCCATTTCTTCTAGATCTTCTAGTTTATGTGCACAGAGGTGTTTCTAATATTCTCTGGTGGTTGTTTGTATTTCTGTGGGGTCAGTGGTGATATCTTATCATTTCGATTGTATTTGATTATTCTCTCTTTTCTTCTTTATTAGTCTAGCTAGTGGTCTATTTTATTAATTTTTTCAACAAACCAGCTCCTGGATTCATTGATTTTTTGAAGAGTTTTTCATGTCTCTGTCTTGTTCAATTCAGCTCTGATCTTGGTTATTTCTTGTCTTCTGCTAGCTTTGGGGTTTGTTTGCTCTTGATTCTCTAGTTCTTTTAGTTGAGATGTTAGGTTGTTAACTTGAGATTCCCCCAAAAGCTTCTTTAGATGATAAGCAACTTCAGCAAAGTCTCAGGATATAAAAATCAGTGCGCAAAAACCACTAGCATTCCTATATCCCAACAACAGGCAAGCAGAGAGCCAAATCATGAATGAATTCCCATTCACAATTGCTACAAAAAGAGTAAAATACCTAGGAATACAGTTAACAAGCAAGTTAAGGACCTCTTCAAGGAGAACTACAAACCACTGCTCAAAGAAATCAGAGAGGAACAAACAAAAGGAGAAACACATTCCATGCTCATGGATAAGAAGAATCAATATAGTGAAAATGGCCATACTGCCTAGAGTAATTTATAGATTCAATGCTATTCCTATTAAACTACCACTGACATTCTTAATATAATTAAAAGACATGTATTTTAATTCATATGGAACAATAACAAAAAAGCCCGAAAAGTCAAGACAATCCTAAGGAAAAAGAACAAAGCTGGAGGCATCACACTACCCGACTTCAAACTTTACTACAAGGCTACAATAACCAAAACAGCATGGTACTGGTATAAGAACAGACACACAGACCAATGGAACAGAACAGAGAACTCAAATATAAGATCACACACCTACAACCATCTCATCTTTGACAAACTTGACAAAAACGAGCAATGGGGAAAGGACTCCCTATTTAACAAATGGTGCTGGGATTAATTGGCTAGCCATATGCAGAAAACTGAAACTGGATCCCCTTCCTTATACTATATACAAAAATTAACTCAAGAGGGATTAAAGACTTAAATGTAAAACCCAAAACTATAAAAACTCTAGAAGAAAATCTAGGCAATACCTTTCAGGACATAGGCACAGGCAAAGTTTTCATGACGAAAACACCAAAAGCAATTGCAACAAAAGCAAAAATTGTCAAATAGGATCTAATTAAACTAAAGCACTTCTGCACAGCAAAAGAAACTATCATCAGAGTGAACAGACAGCCTACAGAATGGAAGACAATTTTTGCAGTCTATCCATCTGACAAGTCTAATATCCAAAGTCTACAGGGAACTTAAACAAATTTACAAGAAAAAAAAATACCATTAAAAAAGAGGGCAAAGGACATGAACAGATGCTTCTCAAAGGAAGACATACATGAGGCCAACAAACATATGAAACAAAACTCAACAACACTGATTAGAGAAATGCAAATCAAAACCACAAGATACCATCTTTGATGGCGATTATTCAAAAGTCAAAAAACAACAGATACTGGCAAGGTTGCAGAAAAAAAGGAATGCTTTAACACTGTTGGTGGGAGCATAAATTAGTTCACCCATTGTGGAGACAGTGTGATGATTCCTCAAAGACCTAGAGGCAGAAATATCATTTGACTCAGCAATCTCATTACTGGATACATACCCACAGGAATATAAATCATTCTGTTATAAAGATACATGCACGCATACATTCACTATTTACAATAGCAAAGACATGGAATCAATCTAAATGCCCATCAATGATAGACAGATAGACTGAATAAAGAAAATGTGGTACATAGACATCATGGAATACTACGCAGCCATAAAAAGGAACAAGATCATGTCCTTTGCCAGGACATGAATGGAGTTGGAAGCCATTATCCTCAGCAAACCAACACAAGAACAGAAAACCAGATACTGCATGTTCTCGCTTATAAATGGGAGCTGAATGATGAGACTACACGGGCATATGAGGAGGAACAAAACACAGTGGGGCCTGTCAGCGAGGGGTGGTGGTGGGAGGGAAGAGCATCAGGAAGAATAGCCAGTGGGTGCTAAGGCTTAATACCTAGGTGATGGGATGATCTATGCAGCAAACCACCATGGCACACATTTATCTATGTAACAAATCTACAACTCCCGCACAGGAGTACCCCTGAACTTAAAATAAAAGTTGAAGGAAAAAAAAAGTGTTGACCCTCCCAAAAAGATAGCAATTTTTATTTTTTCCCATTTATTCCATATTAATTTTTTTGTACATATTTTCTAAGGAACATATTTCAAAATCTATGGGTCTAAGATTCTTAGATGTAAATCTCTTACTCCTTTCAAAGGTTAACAGAAAATTTAGGTTCAGAAAGGGTATAGCTGCGAGATGACAAGGAGGTAACATTTAATGCATTACCTAATTTAAGAAAAAAGTTATTACTCAAAAGTTTAACTTTTTATTAATCAATAATAAAACCTAGAGATACCCTAATAATCTTGGGGCAGAGTCATCTTTTTTTCATGCTAGAAGAAAAGAATCGTACACGGCAGGTGTTGGTTAAACTGAACTCTGTTGCTGTTTCCCACGAACTCTCAAAGTGATGCCGCAAATCACTTTATTAACACCATGTGGCAAACAAGCAGCTATAATTAGGTGTTAGTCCACTTTCCATGCAACCATGTCCCAACATTGATTATTTAATTACTTTAATTGATTTATGTATTTGAAAGCACTTGATACTTATTGATACAAACAATAACATTTTTACTTAAGTATCTATTTAAAATTTAAGAAGTATTCTGCAATCCAGAAAACAAATAGACCTCCAAAACCTCCAATGCAATATAGTTTTAATATAATTTTAAGTGATCATATGAATATCTCCTGTCACCTTGAATGCTAAAAGAAATGGATTTTACTTTTTAATTTCAAAATAACAAGTTAGCTTTAGCTACTCACACTATACAGGTCCCTTGTTTCTTCTTTCATTTTAGGGATCTCAAGAAGGAGGGCCCAGACTTCACCTCTGAGCTGGAGTGGTATTCCTTTGTAAATTCGCCTATGAAACTTATTAAAAGAAAAAGAAACTGAAGGTTACAAACTGACAAAAACTTAGACTAGTCTCTATAGTCAATCTTGCTGATATTTGTTAGCATTGTATTTCCAAAGCATCTATGGCAATTAATTAATACATTTCAACATGGCACAATGAGATACTGTCATCTGTTTTTAAGATTCTAACAGGGAGGCACAGACAAAGAAGGAGAGAGTATAACAAGAAATTGTTAAGAATGCCCAATGCATGAGCATGTTCAGGCCATTACGGAAGTGTCCCTTAAGTGGCACGAAAGCAGTCAGTGCTCTTTTTAAAGGTGTGAACATCTGATTTACACATTCCCTGATGGTATAATTAACTTCTTACACACTTTCTTCCTTTTATCCCACACACCTAAAAGATGCTCCAAACAGCAAAAGGGTTGCCTTGTCCCCAAAATGTCCTCATGGAATGTAGAGTGCTGTCTAACTCCTAATCTCTTTCCTACCACCTTCTCACTGGTCTCTCTAGAAGATACCAAGCTTCTCCTCATCTATCTGAAACCTCAGTTAATCCTATCGGCGATCTTCAGTGTTCTCTCTCTCTCAGACACTCTC